CGGCGCGGGACTGACCTGCTGGGCCCGCGGGGTCCGGGCCGCGGCCGAGCCGGCCTGGCGCAGGCGGGCGCAGTACTGGTCGGTGGCCCGCACCGCGTCCACCAGCCCCTCGGCGCAGCGGCGCATCTGGCCGATGGTGTCTGCCGCCTCAATCAGGTCGCGGTACCGCTCGCCCACCATCTGCCGCAGCTCCTCCTTCTTGTGCTCGATCTCGGCCCGAACCTGGCGCTCTAGCCCGCGGATTTCCTCAGCCCCATGCGTCTCGAAAAGCGCCGCGGAGTCCCGCAGATCCAGCCGCCTCAGTGCTGCAGAAGCAGCCATGGTCGCCATGATACCCAGTCAGTCAGCCGGAAGCCACTTCCGCCCTCAAGTCCCGCCCCTCCGCCATCTTAGGTAAGGGCAGAAGTATTTCCGTTCCCTCGAGAACCATGTTTGTTTCGGGCTTCCTGGGTGTAGCCAACTGGTTTAGCTAGTTAGGCTAGCTGCCTAAAAAGCTGGGTCGCAAGGTTGAGTGTTTGCTTGCCAGCTGACGTCAGAAACACTTCTAGGTGCACTTGGAGCCTTTCCTTAATAGAAGAAAACCACTGTGGTCGAATTAATTATTCAGTTAGGCACCCACGGCACCCATCTGATTGCCAGTTTTCCTTTGGACGCTAGTGTCCCCTTCTAGGCCGTGGTAATGCCCCCGGAGAACGTGTCATTTCGCTGTCCGTCCCTTTTCTGGTACAATCTTTTTGTTAAAACCCTGTCTCCCAGGTATAGTGGTGTGAAGGTTGGAGCTCAAAGGTGCATCACAGACTGACACAGGTGCTCCTGGGCTACACCTGTACCACCCCATGCACCATGCCTAGTGACCACTCCCCCACCTTACCCCCGTGACGTGTGAATGCAGCCTAAAGAGGTAGGTTTGCATGCTATTATTTGCTAGGCTCATTAGCTGAATGCAATTTTAGAGAAGTCTGAGGCTATTTCTGTATATTATACAGAGTTAAATCAGAGAGGCTGCCCCAGGGATTTCTCGTCTCTTATTTTGCTTGTTTCCTTTTCTGCTGATTAGTTCTTTGAGGCTTTCTATTTTGCTGCACACCATCATTTACTTAGAACAAGAGATGTTTCCCCTGATACACTCTTCTTGCTGAGGAGGGAGTGTTGGGCAGAACAATGAGGAGGCAGGTGGGGTAGGTTAGTGTTGACCTGGATGAAGACCACTAGGAAGCAGCTCTGGGCAGGCTTTAAAATTAGCCAATTGGCTTTCCATGTTGACTTGTGAGTCTGTCTAAGGCCTAGGCCCATTATCTGGAGGTGGGCAGCAAACTCATAATAAATGAGCTTCTATGAGTTACTGGTCCCAATTGTAGCCTGTAGTAACTTGTGAAGTCTTGATGCCTCAAAGGACAAGACAAGACCATAGCTAAGGGCACCTGGCTCCAGCCCTAGTTGATTAGATAAAGACTGTAGCTTCAGATCTCTCATTTCTGTGGTGAATTCCTACCTGGAGATAGCATAATTCTCCTAAATTAACATGTGTGACTTGGAGAAGTCCTTGAGCAAACTTCTAAAGTCCTTGAATGGTTCTTCTCAGATTCTCACCTTTCTTCACTATTTCCCTCCTTTGATAACTAAATAAATATGGCTTCCCATAGAATTTCTTGGATTTAGCCCCCCAGAGAATCTTGAATACCATGAGAGGGTTTTGATCCTCCTGGAGCCCTGAAATTATACCGCTTGACTATTTAAGCCTTCGCTGTACACTCGTTTGTGCGATTGTGGGCCTGGGCCATGAACCACATCCCACACTGACCATCTGTGTCATTGTCACTGTCATGCCCTCTCCCAACCACCAGCTTCATTATGTTGAGACAATTCCCAGACATCAATAAATTTTGCTCTGTAAGTAATCCATTAACTTCTGATATTCTGCTTTACCTCGCAGTAGCCCTACAGTATTGGGAATATCATTCCTGTTTCACAGCTGGATAACTTGAGACACTGGGAGGCAAACTGATGTACTCAGTAGAATTTTCAGAGTCTGTTACATATCAACTCTGCAGGAGGTAGGAAATGCTATAACTATTCTATATGTAGAAAAAGCCCAAGACAAGTTATTTGCATATTCATATCATATAGCTTGTATGTGACAGAGAGCACTTGGCTCTAGATTTTTGAATCCTTGGTTACTGCCCTTTTCTACTTTTTATGTTTTCTCTAAACTCAAAATGTTCCTTGGTGATGGGGCTGCATTGCTGGCTGTGCAGTCTCATCTTGCAGGGGACCAGTGATTTATGTTTCCTTGCACAACATCTGCAAAATCTATACTGTGCTTTGGGAATTCATTTCTGTCTGGAAAAATCTTTCACTAGGATTTCTTGCCACAGGGCAAGCCAGGGTCCTGGGAGGGGTGAGCCAGACATAACCATCTGGCCTCTGAAGAGAGAGAATGCTGGTGAAGTGAGGAAGCAGGGACAGTGGGGATGTCATTCTGTGAGCAGCGCAGGTATTACCTGGGAGCTTCCACTTCTCAGGGATGGCAGAGGCCATGAGTCCAGCTGAAGCTCCTAAGAGCCAATGCTAGAGGCAGAGTTGTTGACTGCAGCAAGTGCCCACAGGGGGACCTCTCCAGAATCACCCATGGCATGCTTTGATTGGATTTGGATATTTAGTTTCCTTTTATCCATTTACCCTGTTTCTCTTTTCCAGAGCTGCTAATACTGTCTAATGCTTTGTTAATAAATTCCATTGCTTTATTTTTGTTGTTGTTTTTGTTTGTTTTTTTTGGCGGAACTGGGTATTGAACTCAAGCCCTTGTGCTTGCCAGGGAAGCACTTATTCTACTGAGCCATCTCCCCAGCCCTTCCATTGCTTTATTTTTATTTTTATTTTTATTTTTGTGGCACTGGGCATTAAACCCAGGGCTTCCCACCAGCCTACATCTACAGCCTTTTCTCTATTTTTGATTTTAACACAGGGTCTTGGCAAGTCACTAAGTTTCCCAGGCTGAGCTCAAAGGAGTGATCCTTTTGCTTCACCACCCCCTAGGCTGATAGGAAGCTCAAAATCAGGATCTATGGCTTTCCCTATACACCCTGAGAGTCTGTTCTTGAGTTCTCATCTCTATGAGAGTTGGCTGAAACCTTTCCAATAGTGTGTGTGTGTGTGTGTGTGTGTGTGTGTGTGTGTGTGTGTGTGTGTGTAAATGAGGGCAAGAAGCCTGGGGCTTATGCTAGAGAGAGGTGGCCTGCACTTCCACATAGAACCTGCAATTTCAGGTTGAGCAAAGGACAACCGCCAATCAAGCAGCTGTTTCTAGGAACCAGTGTGCTCTGCTACCAGGGCTCGCTGTCTTTCCTGTGTTTTTCCTGCCAAGTACATCTGACTGTCCTGAAGATGCCACTGTTGCTCTTCTTGCAGAACCCAGGAGGCTGTCTCCCTTCTTGTTAGCTTGAGCGCTGATCATGCTCCCGAGGCCTGGAGGACACGGATCACTTGACTCTTGCTCTTGAAGCCTCTCTTCCTTTCCCCTGCTCCAGGGAGCAGCCCCACCTCTTCTCCTGCCACCTTCTGCATATCGGCTCCAATTATGAAAACTAGGAATTGGGCAAATAGCCCAGCTTGAGCAGCTGGACAGGCACTGTGTTGAGGACAGGCAACAGAGGGGAGGAACTAAATTATTTTTACGTGAGATACTAAGAGGTGCATAAATATTGCCATAGTTGAGTTTTATTGGTGTAGGAGTAAGTGTAGATGTGACTCCTACTACTGTGTCAGGCTTTCTTCTTTTTACCTTAGCACATTCTTGCTGTCTTAAACTACTGGTACTGTCCTATCAAGCAGCTTGTATCACTTGATGGGATGGTCCCACGCTACCCAGTGGGGCAGTCAGGCATGTACCACTGGTGGCTCATGCCAGTAGCAAAGTAATACATTCAAATCAGAGCTTCCTGGCAGTGAGACATATGAATGATAGCCCCATAGTGACCGTTAGCTGTAGAATTTTAAGCATCAAATGTTTAACCTGTTATGGTGTATTTAGATCATCCTGCACTCCTGCATTCTTCTAATAATAGTAGCTCTAATTTGGGTATCCTCTAAGTATTCTGCATATATTATTTCTAATTCTAACGCTAATCCTATGTGTAGGCAGTTTGGCACTCATTTTACTGATAAAATCCAAGACCTGGCAGCTGGAGACATAGCTCAGTAGTGCAGCACCCATCTGGCAAGAGCAGGGTCCTGAGCTTGATTCTTGGCCCCCCTCAAACCCTCCCTCTCCCCCCCCAAAAAAAGAAAAACAAATCAAGGTCCAGCCAAATCACATAACCTGTCTGGGGTCCAGAGCAGGTCAGTAGCCAAGGCTGTCTTCAGATCCCGGTCA